GACAAGAAAGTCACAGGTTCAACTCCCCGTCATGCCCACATGTCATGGTGTCCTTGAGCAAGACCTCTAACCCCCAACTGCTACCCGGGTGCTCACATAGCTGCCCACTGCTCCACTTGGGTGTTTCTCATGTGTGATGGGTCAAATGCAGAGCACAAATTTCATCCTTGCATTGATGACAAATCACCTTCAGTTTTACACAGCTTGAAATGATGTTTGTGCTGCCAGTTCTCTGCCTCCATGACTTTGTATTCAACTAGTTTGTTTACTGACAAGATTGTCCTATATCTCATGAACATTTAGTCTTGAAGTAGGTAAAAGTGCTTCAAAACTTGTTAAAGAAATCTGGCTCCATGTCTCGCTATGAGTCATTCACTGGTTTTATATTTTTTGCGCAAATCTGTCATAAAAACACACAGATTTCGGCCAATGATTCACTTTCTCATAAAGCTTTGAATCAGATAGCAGTGACGTAACGCTGGCACCAATGACGTATAGGATGTCTCATTGTTGGCACTTTTGAAGCTTACAAACGTCACTGATCACGTGATTTCTACCAAAAGAATCAAGCTCTGAAGCAATGTTGTTTTTTATTATTATTATTATTATGCTGCAAATGGAGGTAAATTGTTATGGAGCTACGTGAGCCTCGCCCACAGACTAAAAATGCATGTTAGATTCATTGACAACTCTAAATTGTCCCTATAGTTGTGTTTCCACGTGGTCCCAATGATGGATTTGTGACCTGTCCGGTGTACCCTGTCTCACACACACTGCTCCTCTCTAAAAATTGCAACAAAAGGAACATTTTGTGCTCATCTCATCAAAAAACAGTTCTCTGTGCACTTTGTGACATTTAGTCCATAGAGGGCAGCCTTGAGCAGCATCTAAAGTGTCTCCTGCAGCTTTATTGAAATGCTTCTTTCAGATTTTCTTGACATCCAGGAAAGTTGCAAAGTTATAAATGGGGGAACATGGCACTCTAATGTGGATAAGTGTTTATTGTGGAACAGTCTAAAGCATAGAATCAAGATGTGTGTTCTAAAAAGGGTGAATAAAGCGTTTTACCCAAAAACATATATATATAT